GATGTTGCCAATACCTACAAACAATGTGTGAGGAAAACCACCAGTTTCACTTTGTAGCACAACCTGACGGACTACGTGTAAACCCCTCCTAGTGCAAAGCAGTAGTAGCCCCAGCAGTGTTTTCAATTTACAGTAAGTTCAAAAATGTGTAATCGTAAATGAATTGTACAGATACCTATAGAGTTGTCAAGTGTAAATTTAAAAACTCAAACCTTTAAGGCATAAATGAATGGACAGTGTTTCTTTTTCCAAAGTGTGAGTTACATAACATTTGCATAGCTCGCTGGCACATCCACGCACTATTCATTGCAATACTCTCCCACAAGGTAGCAGGAGGCCGGTAACTGAGTGAGCATTCACTGCGGGTCAGATTCTGTCCTTGCCATGCTTTGCTCTGGAAACCATCCTGTAAACAGCTCGATAGTGAGAACTGGGTGGGACACTAAGGCAAGGGCCCTTTTACACCCCTCTCCTTGGTGTCAACAGCAGAGTTCCTCAGGGCTGTCGCCTGCGGGAGCTACAGATCATCTGTGCACAATTCCCAGCCTCTTCCTTCTAAACACTGGATCTAGCAGTGGATCTAAGTATTTTGTAGAACACATAAAAACCGTGCATGCTTTTACTGAACACAGAGTTGTAGGTTACACACACAAAGCGGTAATTTTCAAACCCTGCAAAGTAAGATTTGACTTCATGGTAAGTGGAAGGTACACAGAAATCCCCACACAGAGCTCCCCCTGCCAACACACAATGCTGTCATTCAGACACAGATGAAAAATGTGCCTTTATATACTACTTTGATTCATTGTCTGTCTCTGATATTTCTTTGTACTTTACAATCTTGTTGAATCTTGCACATACTTACCCTGAATCATGGCACAAAAAGGGATTTCTAAAGTATAATGAAACTGTTTTCATTGATTTCGTATTGATTACACATTTCATGTTTGCAAGTATTTGTATTTACTACTCTTTAGGCTTCTTAAGGGTCAGGCATTACTAGCCTGATGATGGATGCAACAGCCTGCTAATCCAGAAACACTTGGATGGGGTATAAAAAGGGAAATGAATGTAGGACGCAGGACCCCCTTAGGAAACACTGTAAATTGAGTGTTCTTATCAGTCAACAAATGTAAAATACCTTGCACAAATGTGCAGTGAACACCTGAAGATTCTCAGCTGATGTTACTGATCACATCACAACTTAACTGCATACTAGTCAAATAGCTTTCAAGTTCTTGTCTGTTAAATTTTATTAATTAGTACAATTATTGGTTCATATTTAGATTCCTGCTTTTGGTAGTGATTAAATAACCCTTAGATTCAAAAGCCACACACTGCTCCTAGTGTTAATAAAGATGTACTTGGCATTTGCACAGAATTTTCTCAGAATTTCACAGCCCAGGTATTTTGACATTTCTAGGAAACCTTGTCACATGACTGTTAAAAAAAAAAAACCTGAAGTGTGCACACACATATGCATATATATATATTTAAATGACTTGTACAAGAACACAAAGCATCAGTACCTACATTACTAAAAAAGTAGTATACCATCATTTGTTGCTGTGGTATTTTACTCTATGTATAAAATTCCAAATGAGAGATACTTAGTGTCTACTTTGATGCAGGGCACTTCCTCTACAATCCACAGATTACCTTTTCTGTAGTTTTGCCCACAGCAGACTTGCCAGTTTCTGTGCTGATGGCAGGACACTGCAGAAGCAGGTCACTTTGGAAACAAAATAAAGGCAACCCTGGGGGATTTTGTAAAGGGAAGCCTACATTTCTGCTCCCAAAAGCTTTTCACACACTGTTCTATGCTCTATACTGAGAGCCAATAAACATTGCTTGCTAATACAAGCTGCTCTGAACTAAATGAAAAGAGCTGTTTTTATTAATTAACAGTGGCTGGTGACCATGTTTAAAACTGCATTGCCTGGTGCACTTCAGCATAAAACACAAGCTTGTAATGTATGCTGAAACATGCAGCTGCCCTTTTTACAGCCCCCTCAGAAAAGTTTTCAGCATTTTAATGCTACTGAGCTATGATGTCTAAGAAATGTACCCTTTGATATCTAAAAGTGAGCCCCAGGTACATCCAGGAGAACTATGCTTCATAGAACTGGCATCTGCAGATAGAGCTAGCTGTCAAAACTCAGTGTGTCCTTAACATTAGGACTCTGACAGTAGAGGAGCACCCTCTCTGTGATGGAATAAGGAGATCCATCTATAGGAAGCAGCTCTTAAGAACCGCTTAAAATTACTCATACCTTTCCAATTTGTCCTTCTTCCAGGACCAAGGCTTTTAGGTTTCATTTAGAACCTTTCATTACACTGTCTAAACACCTTAGATAATGCTAATGTTTTATATCAATATCATTATCTCATCCAGGTCTTTCAGATCTCAGCTGAAATAATATAATTAAGTAGACTTCATCAGACTGGGAGGAGGTAGCAATATAGAAGCGTTGATACAGCAAACCATCCCAAAGCAGTATATTAAGAATCAGCTTTCTTACTCATAGTGAAAATGAGAAGAAAAACCAGTTTCAAACTATTTTCTTGAATTTAGAAATTTTCCTTTAAAACATATCTGGGGTTTTTTTTTTCCAATTGGTCCCCTCTTTCTCCCAAATTATAGCTTCGCAAATTTTTTCTGAAGTGTTCTAAACCCCTACTGTCTCAGTCTTAACCGGGAGATGCAACAACCAATTATTAAACTATTGAGAGCGTACTGAAACTACTCCATAAAGCTGTAAATCAAAAAGATACTATGAAGGGCAGAGGAGGTTTCAAAAAAACACAGTCAAGAGAAGTTATCATAGCTGTTGAAGTTCTGCCAGAGGAACCTGTGACAAAATTAAATTTACCTGCACTGAGTATATCAATTCCTAAAATACTGGATTTGGTTTAAGGGTCTGTCAGCTACTAAAGTGGTATGACTTCACTAAAAGGATCAATGAAACCATTATCTTCTATTTCTCCTCAAGAGGAAGGTGCATCTAATGTGGCATGTGTAGAATATCAACATATGTAATTCAGTTAGGCAAATCATCTCCATTGGGTAAACACATCCCTCTTTACAAAATGACTATCTAATTTATCATCACAACCTGAAGCCCAGCCTTTGGATGTCTTCTGTCACAATTCTGTATTAATTCAAACCTATTCATCTTACAGGAAGCAGTTTGTTGTCTTCAAACATCTGTCTTGTGCCATTTGTGTAGCCCGTGGCTCAGTGATATTTCTGTCTCCTTATTGTGTGTTAACAATAAGCTTGTCTAATTACATATTGTTGGTAAATAATTTACATTTTCCCTTTTAAAATGACCGCCATCTGTGATTGCACCAGCTTTAAAAAAAGCTTTAAAATAAGGAATCTGCATCTCTCTTGGCTAAATTGGCGGTGATTAATATACACTCCCCAGACTTTCCCTTTGCACACTGTATATAAATTGTAGTATTTCCTAATGCATTTATCCTACAGATTTCCCACTGCAGCTGTGGATGCCTGATCCCTGTAAGTGTTACAGGCCAGGCTGGATGGGGCTCTGAGCAACCTGTTCTAGCGGAAGGTGTCTCTGCCCATAGCAGGGGGATTGGCACCTAATGACCTTTAAGGTCCCTTCCAACTCAAACCATTCTTTGATTCTAAATATTTTGTAGTATTTGTGTTACACTTATTTCCTGGATTTACCACCAATTCTAGGGGACTATGCTTGACATGCAGCTAAGATGACCAATTCACGGAAGTGTGACACTCTTCTCATTTCCTCTTTTATTGTCCCTTCACCTGGTCCCTTGCAAAGGAATAGCCATATACTGACAGCTCCTCACACTAGCCAGGAAACTGCTCTTGGGATAACACAGCTTTCAGACAAGTCACCTGCACTTGCTACTTCGGGCTGCTTTCCTTCAACATACCGTCTGTGTACTCCCGACTCCGGTTGGAGGCAACGTGGAGATCAGCCTGGCCTCCTCTCAGGCTCCAAGATTAAGTCTTAAGTTTAAGACTTTAACTCGGGCCACAGCGCGTTGAGTGGGACTAGCCCTCGGCTCCTTCGGGGGCCGCCTGTGACCCTACATTTTGCAGGAGTGAGGAGGCGACCTCACTCCTCAGCCGTTCCCTCCCGTTGGCCGCAAACCCCCGAGCGAGACGCGCCCGTTGCAGCCGCGCAGGCCCGCCCGCGCCGGCACCGCAGGGGTGCGCGCCGGGATCCCGTGCACGGAACGGCGGCACGGAACGGGCGCTTTGCGCCGGCCCCCGCGGGGAGGAGCCGCGTTGGAGTAACACAGAAGAAGTGGGAAGAATGCCACGTTCCTGGGAATTGTTCATCGTAGGCGCGCGTGAAGCATAGTCATGTAGAACTGGTAGTAAAAGTAGGATATATGTGTAACATAAACACTACTAAATGCTTAAAAATGTAGAACGGTTTGGGTTGGAAGGGACCTTAGAGAAAATCTAGTCCCAACCCACCTGATGTGGGCAGAGACACCTTTCACTACCCCAGATTGCTTAGAGCCCCATCCAACCTCGCCTGGAACACTTCCAGGGATGGGGCATCCACAGCTTCTCTGGGAAACCTGTGCCAGAGGTATTGGGAAACACTACAATTCACATTCTGTGTACAAAAGGGAAGTCTGGGGACCGTATATTAATCACCGCCCAATTTAGGCACGTTAAGAGGTACGGATTCCTTATTTTAGAGCTTTTTTTCCCCAAGCCGCTGCAGTTACAGACGGTACCAGTTTTAAAACGGAAAGCACAACGTCGCGAAGCTCACAACGCCCGCTCCCCGCCCCCCCCCACTCCCCTCAGCGGGAGCGCGCACCCGCCGCCGCGCGCGGCCTGACGTCACCGCGGGCGGGCGGGCTGGCGCGCGTGACGTGCGCCCTCCCCAGCCCTCCCCTGTCCTCCCCGCGCAGGCCGGGCCGCGGGCGCTGATTGGCCGCCGCCTTCCCGCTTCCTCCTCACCGCCCGAGAACCCGCCATTTTGAAAACCTTGTTGATTCCGGGAGGGAGGGAAGAGGGAGAAGGAGAGGGAAAGAGTGCCTGGCGGCTGTGGGGCTGCGCCGCGGCGGTGCGTGTGTGTGTCGCTGCGCCCGGACCCGCCTCGTCCAGCAGCAGCTGTCGCCTTCAGCTGCTGCCGCCGCGCCTGAGGAGGGAGCCGGGAGCCGGGGCTCGAGCTGAGGTGGGTCCCGCCGCCATGGCCGTAACGGCGCCCGAGAGCGGTCCCGCCTCGCCGCGCCCGGGCCAAGCAGGGACGGATTCTGACGAAGAAAAATGAAACGCAGCCGCCGCGGCGCCGGGCGTCCGACCCGCCCCGGGGACGCGCCGTGTGCGGGGCGCTTGTCACCGGGGCTGCCTCCGTCCCGGCCCCTGCCCGAGGTGTTTCCTGGGTGCTGCGGTGTCCTGCGGCGGGAGCGGGCGGAGCGGTCCTGCGTCCGGCGGGGACGCGATGGCGCCTTGGCTGCCGGCGCCACCGGGCGCTGCGCATCGCCGTCGGCTTTGCCCCGGCATCCGGCTTACAAACCGGGAAGAGGGGACAGGTGGAGAGTCCCCGTCTAAAAAGCCCCAGGCGAGGGCGGGAGACCCTCTCCCGGTAGAGGTGAATCCCTTTTTCCCCTAAGCAAAACGTCGTCCCGAACCTAGGTGGTGGAAAGCTAAGAAGTCTCTAACTTTCTCTCTTCTGTAACCTTTGAAAGGAGAAGGAAAGACAGTGTGTAGTGCTTCTCTTCCTTTTACTCATGACTTCAAGTAGAAGTCAGTAATTGCCGTGAAAATACCAGATTACTTACTACAAATGAAATACTGGTAGTATTACCCTGAAAGATAGATTTTTCTCTCGTGATTTAGCCAGGAAACTTTACTTTTCCTCGTACTGTTGGTAATAAATATTAACTCATGTTTTCTGTCATTTGGAAGACGACTGATCTCTGGCAACTGCTAATGCTTCATATAAGCAGCAGATCTAAATGTTACTTATTGCACCTGATCTCTTGTACTGGCTTTAGTATTGCAAAAAGAAAATGGTTAATTTTGTGAAATTCTGTTCCAGATCTAAACGGTGAAAATTTTTGAAAGCTAAAATTTTTAAAAATGAGACATATGGTTATCTTGCTCTATTGGATAGATGTTTTCTGTTAGTAGGGAAATGGTACATGCATAACTAAGATATTTTATTTTTAAAGTTTACATATAGTTTACATATTCAGATGCTAAGAAAAACTCTTGAATATGCTAAATATGAAGCATTTATTCTTTTTTGTTGTAGATCTACAAATTAAAACAGGAAGTATTTTCATGACCAAAGATGCAGCAGCTGTCTGGGTTATGAAAGCAGTGTTAATTCTTCCTTGAATTGCTTGCAAGTTTTTTTTTCTTTTTTTAATGTTTCTGTTCCCATTTCCCACCTAAGCAAGTAACCTGTTTAAGTTACTAGGAAACTTGCATGCATAGTTAACCATGATTAAAAATAAGTATTAAGTTTATAGCAGGGTGCAGTAAAATGCTGATATCTTAAAACACTGCAGTTTTTAATAGATAACAGTATCAGCTGCTTTGAGTGGGTGTTTCCGAATGTTTCACAAAAGCAGCTTGAAGACGTGTGTGAATAGAATTTATAACCTTTTAGAGTGTTCTTAGCCAGACTAGTTGCAGAATGGATGGCAACAAGTTCTGAAAAGTTGTGTGTATTGTGTATATGTCAGGCACCGTAGTGATTAGACAATGTCAACAATCAGAGAGTACCAGCACACTGCTTCTGCTGCACAAGAAGATAATTTTTTTAAGCAAGATTCCTGTGCTTTTCATGGATGTTGTTTTACTGATGATGGTTTCCTCTGACTCTTTTCTATAGAAGCATACACCATGTCTTCTGTTGATTCCTCAAAAGAAGATACAATGTCAGAAAAAACAGATGAGAAACAACCTGAAACTGAAAACAAAGCTGAGGAAAGTGATGAAGATGAAGAAGAGGAGGAGGAGGAAGAAGAAAAGGGTACTTGTTTTTCTGTTGAATAAGTTGTTCTTTAATAAATGCCAAGCTATTGAATGCAGTCTGCTGTGATTTTGGCTAATTGTACAATTATTGAGGAGATGCCATAGTGCATCTGTCTCGTGGGTCATAATAGCTTCCCAGTAGACTATATCAGGCAATGCTAAAAACAGTGGTGCTGATTTATCTCAGTAAAGATTGAAGGAATTGCCAGCATCCTGGACTTCTATACTAGGGATTTTTTGTTGTATAAATTTTTTGATGATTGTAGGAGATATTGTCCTTTATCAAATTATTTTTTGCCAGTAACACTCTGAAGTGATCTGTGTTTGCCAAAGAAAAACTTCTAAGTGTGCAATATTTTTGGAAACAATATGAATGTTTTTGCTTAACTACAGTGAATTAATTTTCTGTGTATCCAAATGTAATTATACTGGGTCAGTAGAAATTCCTTTAGACTAATTTTGGTATATAAAAAATTGCAGCAATATGATAGGATGGGGAAGCAAGGCAGGTTTTTTTGTTGGGGTATGTAATTGGAGGTAGTCAAGGAGAACAAAACAAGATGGGGGGAACTACTATGCAAAAATGTTAATTTCTATTATGAAGTCTCCAGGCATCTGTTTTCAAAAGGAAAGCATTCTTGGAAATATGGCTGTAATGTGGCACAGTGAAAACCAAGTCATTGATGCTCTTGGATCCTTGAAAGAGATGATGTTTGTCTTTAGGAAAGGCAGTAGAAAGAAGACAGATTATGCTGTTTGGAAAACAGCAAAGTAATTGTCATTGGATTTTCAGAAAAAAAATTCTTTTTGCTCTGGTTTTGATTATGTTCATGCAAGTTTTGAAGCGGCTTTCAGATGTTAAAGCCAGGACAGCCCATCTGTTTAGCTCTAAGGATGGTATTACTTGAGGTGTCAAGTATTTCAGTATGAAATGTTCAGCTGAAGCGTTAGCTTTTTCTTCGGAGTGGTATCATTAAATTAGTGATGTGCTGGGTATATGTAAAACAATCTAAATATATTCATTAGTAAGCAGTACCAGAATTACTGGGAATAATATTCTTGCAGTATTAGTGACACTTGTATTGTGCCCTGCGGAGTGCTTCTCTCTGTACCCTGGGATGTGTAGTACAGTCCCACTGCACTTGTGCTTCTGCCTCTCCTGCTGAAATGTGTGGTTTCTCCAGTCCAGTAGTGGAAAACATATTGTGTGCTGGCATCCTGGACCCTGCTTTTGCCTATCTGGTGGTAGTATTCTTCATAGTGCTGTGCATGGAGCTGTGTGCATACAGAGTGCAGCATCCAAAGAGAATGTGCAAACAAGGTCAGTTTTGTATCTGAAAAAGGCAGTGAAAGGAAAGAAGGATTTGTTTCTGAAAACACATAGTCCTACAGTCTCCATTACAGTGAAGTTACCTTTAGGAAATGCCCAGTCTTGTCTTCAAGGTTTCCTTGGATACAGGATTGTGGTGAAGAACTGGAGAGACTTCTAGTTATGTACATGCAGCTCTATAAAATCACGCTGGCTTATTAGCCAAAGGTTTGAAAGTGTTATAGTACCTGGTTATATCATCATCCATTTTTGATTTGCTATTTCAAAGAGTCAGTGTTGTGTTGCCTGTCACTTCAGTCAGATCTGCAATGAAGAACATTGTGTTTAAGGAAGCTGTCTTTTGCAGAGAAGAGTCTCATTGTTGAAGGAAAAAGAGAGAAGAAGAAGGTTGACCGACTGACCATGCAAGTTTCCTCACTGCAGAAGGAACCTTTTACAGTTACACCAGGTAAGCTTGACTTCTCACATACGAATTGTGAGTGTTAGGAATGATAATGAAAACTTTAAAAAGATGAAATTACTGATTTGTTGTAGGTGAGACCTAATTTATGAGTCATGATCCCTTTAAAAATAATAATGCTATAAAATATGGAAACTCTTTTATTCTGTAGCATCAGTTTAAACTGTAAAAGTTACATGATGTTTAAACTTACTTGGAATAGGATCTTCAGTACCTCACCACTCCTAACAAAGGCAGGAGCAGCCAGAATAGAAAGAAATGCAAAATCCTTGTACCCTGATCTAAGTAGTATCAAGTAAGGCAGGTAAAAAGCCTGTCAGGATGCCTAAGTGATAGGAAAAGGCCTGCTTAATGTGTGACCTATTATAATGTCTAGTTATGTTTTTATGGAAATTCTTTGCTTTTTTTTTTTTTAAAAAGTAGAAACTTTAAGTTACAAACACATAGGTAACTACAAATGTGATGCATAGCATAAATGATTTTAATTGTTTCAGGAAAAGGACAAAAACTCTGTGAAATTGAGAGGATACAGTTCTTTCTGAGTAAAAAGAAAACAGACGAACTTAGGAACCTGCACAAACTCCTCTACAACAGACCAGGCACTGTAAGAATTTCGATCTTATATCCATTAGTTCTCATGTATAGTGAAAATGTAGTGCAGTTTTTTACATTTGCACATATGGATCTATTTCTTGAGTGCTATTTATTACAAGCTGCTTAGAAAGTGGGTATTTGCAGGACCAGTTAAATAAGCTTCCTCCTTTTAACTCCTATAAACTCTCTCCCTATAAAAATCCTGTGGCAGGGTGTACTAAATCAAAAGTCTCTTAAATGTAGATTTGATTTTTTTTTTCTTTAATGGTGGAATGTTAGATTACCTTACAAGGATGAGTTGGAAATAATTTACGGTTCACATGCTAAAAGCTGCTGACATGCAGGTGACACTCAAAATACTGCATGTGTTAATACATTGCTGCTTTTCTGCTATTTTTCTCTTAGTTTGCAGTAAGCAGTAGAAAAATAAAAGTGATAAAAATCTCTACTAAGATTTTATATATAACAGTTTTCCTAAGATAATTAAAATATTGTCCATTTTGTATTTAAGGATGACACTTAAAATGTAATGACAAGTTTTTCTTGGAGTGGTTTATGTATCACTGATTGTGCCTTAAATTTCAGAGTAAATATGACCCATTTTCCTTGCTAATGGAAGCAAAATGTGAAATTGAGGCAGATTAAATTGTACTATTTCTATACGTTTACTGTAACTATTGGAACTTTTTTAATATCTTTATGTATTTTGGAGACTTGAACAGCTGGCACAGAAACCAGAAATTAAATAGTACTAGTATACAGATGTAATTATATCTATATAATATATATAATATACTAGATCTAATTTCTTAGACCACTGCTTCTGATGGAATGCTTGTTTAAATGTCAAAGAATGATCTGTTGCCACAAGTATTTAGAAAAAAATATATCAGTACGGTTTCAGTCGAAATTGTATTTAGTCAGAGTTTTTGGGAACTCAGAATGCTGTTTGAGGTAATGAAGATCAGATCTTGTCTTGTATGGACATATTTGTATGTGCTTTTAGTTGTACTTAACATTTTTAATAAAACATACCAGTACCACCTGCAAATTTTCTTTAGGTGATGGACAAAGCTCTTTGGAAAAGGAGCTCAGCTTTGGTAAAATTACAAAAAGTACATTTGTGATCGTGATGGGAGCAATTTTCCATTTATAAGGGCTATTGGAATGGAAGTTCAATCCAGATCAGACACCAGGTGTAATGATAGCAGTTGTAGATTGGGTGGTACATAAATGCAGATATTGGTCCTACTAAATAAGAGGTTCAAAAATATAGTCATGGAATTATGTAAGACTTCAGAATAGCTAGTAAAGCAAATCTACTTTAGCAGATTATAGAATAAAAAATAAAATTCCCTATTTTGTAACAAATTACATGATACAAAGCATGCAACAGGCTTCATAAAGTTGTAGTTTTGCAAACCTGTAAATCATCATGCAGTACATTCTAAGTGAGCTTGAAACTGCAAGTGACTTCGTCTAGTAAGTTATTAAAAGTACCACAGTCACAAGAAATTGAACTTAATTATTGTAGTTTGTCTATCATAAGATAAAGCATAATCCATGTAGATTATAACCTAAAAGGTGTAGCTTTGTCTACAGAAAGCTAAATGCTAGAACAGATTTTCTTGTATGAAAGGTTAACAATTGTAGTCGGATGAAATAGTTTAAACTGCTTGCAATGAAAAGTAATCTGTGTCCTCTGTTCTAGGTTGCATCCCTAAAGAAGAATGTGGGTCAGTTCAGTGGGTTTCCATTTGAAAAAGGAAGTGACCAATATAAAAAGAAGGAAGAAATGTTAAAAAAGTAATGATCTCTTGATACTTAACATAGCTTGACTCATGCTATGCAATCTATTTTTTCTTTTTTCCATCCACAATTTTACTTGAGATTAACATTAAACTGTAAGACAGGTGGCTGTTTACTAGAGCTCTGCAATTTTTTTTCTGAGTTCATTTTAATCACACAAACTGGTATCTTAAGACAGCTTGAAATGTATTAAGAGTTAAATTGTGAACATTTTATTCGCAATTCCTACATTCCTGATTTTAACTGTTGCATGCTAACTAGCAGATTCTTCTACCAAGGGAGAGGAAAGCGTTATTTCCCCGGGGCAAGCATAGTGTTGTGAACACATTGCACTTTATTCATGGTGCAAACCTGCATCCTTCTATGCCTCAAAACCTTCCTCCTTTAGAATCAAAGGCATCTATGAGTATTATATACTAAACATACAAGAATTGCTCTAGCAACTAATCTCACAAACTTTTTTTTTTTCTTTTTTACTGTCTCCCTTCATAAGTCGCTTTTCCATCAATAGGAGAAGCTGCTGCAACTTAGTTTTGGCTGGACTGAAAAGGTTTAAAATGCCCTTGCATATTTGTGTAGGTAGTTGTAACAAATGAAAGAACTAATAACATCTACAAAATATATTCTAAAACTGGGTGGTTTTTTTAGTTCCTGTTTGCTGGTAGTGGAAAGGCTTCCAGAACTTGGATTTTCCAAGTCTTTCTTCTTCAGATAGGCAGTTTTCCAGGAGTACAGTTTGCCAAATACATGGGAATCTACAAGACAAACTCTTACCTCCTAATGGGAGTTTTGACTTTTTCCCAAAGGTTTAATTGGATAATTCCCCCTATCAAAAAAGGGTGCAAAGTAAAGTAATTTTGCACCTTTTCTTTTCTTATTTTCTATATGAAACAACTGCTAGTTTAGTCTTCAGCAAATATTCTGAAACCTGATTGCATTGGGTTGCATATGAAGGTGCAGAGCCCTGTATGCTTGCATTACTGTGGTAGCTTCTGCTGCTGTTTGTAGCTGTGTGGAACACAAACTGTTGATCAGTTTGTTAATTTGTTCTGCCTCTGTGGTTGATTTCTGCCCAGACTTTACACTTGCATGTCATATTTTAGCAGCACTGAAAAAGATGAGCAAAGGTCAACATGTATTTTGCAGAACCTTACTATTCAGGCTATACATCATAAAGAATGTAATACTTTTTTTACTATGGTTCCTTAACTTTTTTTAAATATCCTGTTATACAGACATGCAGATTTGGGAATTCTGTTTTATTTTGCTTTATGTAATATGGTGGCGATTCTTTGCTTAATCATTGATAAGTCTGGAAATGTAGTTGACTGTGTGTATATATATATTGTCAGGTGGCAGACACAAACCAGACAGCAGCTTCTAGCAGTCAGGTGTTGACTGTTTAGTATGTGATACTGAATCTCTTCTTATTTTCTTTTTTTTTTTTTTTTTTTCCCCTACAGATTTAGAAATGCAATGTTGAAAAGTATCTGTGAAGTTCTTGACTTGGAAAGATCAGGAGTTAACAGTGAGCTCGTAACCAGAATATTAAACTTCCTAATGCATCCAAAATCTTCTGGCAAGGTAAGATGCAGGTTGTTATGCTTGCTCTTATAGCTCTGTTCTGATGGAAAGTGCATCTGTTCTCTATTGCTCATTGTTTGCTTGTTTCCAGTAATATTATAATTACTGTTCTAACTTACTGAAGTAGGAATGACTTCTTGAAAGAGAGTAGTTCTACTACTGCAGGCATCCGTAATGGGGTGACAACTTAAATAGAAATTCTGTTTACTTGTGGGTGTCCCCATTAGACACTGTTAGTGCATGAACACATGGAGCTCATTAGGATATCGATTCCCAAATGCCAATTATCCTCTGCTTTGTGGGTGGAGGAGAATAGATACATGAAAGGATGGGAAAATCAAGTGTCAGATGTTGCCTCTGTTTGCTGTATTTCACAAAAGTATGTTATCACATCACCAAATGGAATTTGTTGCAGGGTACAAAAGCTTGGATTTAGCCAGTGCACTAGATTCAGAGTGCAATTGCCAGGACTGCTAAACTCTGTTGTTAATCTTCTTGGACTTCAGTTTTTAATCTAAAAGTAATACTAAAATAGTTGCACTATTGCTCAGGAAATTAAATCTATTCCAAACAAACACTGGAAAGTGATGTGAATAAATGATGGGGTCAGCATGCAGCTTTAGGGACACAGGTACTGAGTTACAGCAAAATGCAGGTTTGCATAAGAAGTGACAAAATTTCTGCCTTTGAGTCTTCTGAGTCATTAACTGATTTGTTACCAGAAGAAAAGGCTTGGTAGGTAAAAGAACAAGAAAGGCTTGCTAGGTAAAAGAATGAACCTTTCTTGCTTCCCTTCTCTAACCTTTGAAGATTTGTTTTCTTAGGGAAGGGGTGCACTTATCTTAGAAATGAAATTTCATTTTGCTCAGCTCTATCTCATTAGTGAATGTTTACTGCAAAATATTATGGCTTAAGTGTAGTATATAAAATAGCCCTGGGTTATGTTAAGGCACCTCTATAGTTTTTTACTGTTCTTTCATGTGATTTGAAATAATTTATCTTTTTTAAATTTACTTTTATATTCCTACTTGGATTACACACATCTCTTGTCTCTCAGCCATTGCCAAAGTCCAAAAAACCACAAAGCAAAGGTGGCAAAAAAGAGCGGAGTAGCTCTGGAACAGCAAGAAAAGCAAAACGCACCAAGTGCCCAGAGATCTTGTCGGATGAATCCAGTAGTGAGGAAGATGAAAAAAAGGAAAAGGATGAGTCTTCAGAAGAAAAAGAAAGTGAAGATGAGGTAATAAGTTATTTTGTTTGTTCTTCAACATTATGTCATTGCTTTCAATTGGTAACTCTTGGAACACAGAACTGGGGAGTGAGGTTTAGCTGAAGAAGGGAATACATCTGCAATTTTTAAGAGGTTTTACTAAATTCTTCGTGTGTTGAATTTAGAGAATCATTTAGATAAAAGGCAAAAGTTCTGGTGCTTGGGTGTATGTATGCACCTTATAAAACTGTTTGCTGTGTGTAATTTTGAGGCAGCCAGGATTGCTAATGTAATTTATTGTATTTCTCAGATCATCTTGTGATAACTTGTAATTTCATAATGCAGTGTTTGATATGATACCTAGGACTTAACTTTGAGTTCAGGAGGAGTCACTGACCTACCTCACTGCTTTGGTTTGGGATCTTTTTTCCATATTTCTCCTGGATTTTATATCTTAATCTCTCTCTTCAAGTTTTGTGTCTTAAAGTAAGCACAACATAGTAGGCAGCCTTAAAAAGATCTCTGCAATCTCTGGAGTGTCTTAATCTCATTGTATTTTGTGTTTTCTTTAAAACTTTTTGCATACTAGGCAGGAAGCATCAAATCATGGAATAGTTTGGGTTGGAAAGAACCTTTTTAAAGATCATCTAGTCCAATCCTCCTGCAATGAGCAGGGACATCTTCAGCTGGATCAGGTTGCCTTATTCAACCTGGCCTGGAATGTTTCCAGGGATGGGCATTCACCACCCCTCTGGACAACCTGTTTCCGTGTTTCAACACCCTCATTGTAAAAGAAATTCTTCCTTATTTTTCTTCTAAATCAACCCTCCTTCGGTTTAAAATCGTTACTCCTTATCAGACCTCAGCAGCAAAGTGCAATTAGTCAAACTGCTGGTGCCCAAGTTCTTTATGGAAACTATGGAACCCCTGGTGGTAATAAAAGTCCACTCTTTACTTAGGTTACATTCTATCTGTTGAAATGGAAGTGTAACACGGTGTTAATAGCCTGAGCTATAGGAAACAGTAGCAATCTTTTGTTGAAAGGCAATTAATGTAACAGATTGTTTTGTTTGGGTCATTTTGATAGGTGTTTGGTTTAATGTAAAAAGATGGTTCAAGGGAATTTTTATGCCTCCATGAAACAACCTTAATTCTTACTGTGCCTTTTTCATTCCTTTTAAATGGCAAATTGAAAGAGAGCTGAAATACTAGAAGTTGACATATCTGTTAATTTTTTCAGGAAAACAGGGTTTCTGCTTTGAGGAGAGGAATATCTGTTTCAGTGGCAGGAGTTGTCTTTCTTCCAAGAACTAAGTTATTTTTAAAAAAACCCAAAAATCTAAAACTCTCCAAACAAAATTCTAACAAACAAAAAGGCATAGCAGTAAACTCCATTGATCTAAGTGGGTCATCTTTGCTTTCTTTCAGAAGGTAGGAGTTAGGTATGTCTGCAATGTCTGAGCGGACTGAATTCTTCAGAAACTGAAGTTTAGGTGTATGGAATAAATCGTAATTATTACAAAAGCACTTGTTTGTCAGATTAGTTTGAAAATAGGACCTGGTGAAATGGAAAATCTCTGTACAGCTTTAAGATTACAGTATTTTTTAAGAGTTAGGGTTATGACAGCTTTTGATATACTGGATGTAGGCAGTGTATCTATTTTGCTGTACCAGCTCTGTTGGAAACTTAGGCATGAAGTGGCTGGAGTAAATTGTGCTCAGAGTGGAAATTTTTCCTTTTATGGAAAAGAGGTATGTACTTCTCTTAATGGAAGAGGTTCAAGTAATACCTATTACTTTAATTTTATGATTTTCTTTTTGTAGCCCCCTAGAAAAGCATCTAAAAGAGAAAAATCTAAAAAGATGGCTTCTAAAACCAAGAAAGCTGTGAAGGGTGCAAATGTCAAGAAGGCAGACAGCAGCACTACTAAGAAAAACCAGAACAGTTCTAGAAAAGGTAAATGCTTTAAATCTTTCATCATGCATTGCCTTGTAGCTTAACTGGCATGTTTATTAGAAAGGAAGCTTTTGCGCTGTATTGTGAAGGAAAATGGAATTTGGTAAATTGTTGGTTTGCTACTTGATGCTTCTTTCCTTGAAACAGTATTTATTAAAAAAACCTGTTGGTTTGGGTGTATTTAATGTATTTTCTGCTGTGTGTATGTGAATAGTTTTTATTTGCATATAAACTGAAAGTATCAGCCAAGTTCTCCATTTTGCTGGAAGAATATTGGTAAAGTTCTGTTTGGGCCTCTATAGTGGCTTTATGCAAATCTTGTAATTGATCCAGTAGTGTGTATCCCATGTGTGTGTCTTTGGTTCAGCAGCTTGATACTGGTTTTTTGTTAACACAGATATGGTTTCTCCATGTGTCCTTTTGCAGTTGTTTTTCTCACATCTCACAGTGTGCATGATACAGACACTGAGTTTCTTAATTGCTCTGTAAAGATTGCAGTAGTGAGGTTGGGAGCAGTGGTATTTTGCAAAGCACCTTTTCCCAAAAGGGCCTGGGCAGGGCCAGATGGTTCTTTGCAGACAGCTCATGGAGGGCCATTCAGCAATGGGCGCTCCTGATAAGGAACACTGACAGCACTCGAGGCTCTTGCAGCAAGTGTGGGGCCAGGGAAGTGACTGGCACCCCTGTTCAGCACCTGTGAGCTGGCCTCGGCAGCAGTGTCCAGCTGTGGGCTCCCTAGGGCAGGCATGGACATCATGGAGTGAGTCCAGTGCGGGGGCACCAAGATGGTGAGGGGGCTGGAGCTCAGGGTGCAGGAGGGAAGGCAGAGAGAGCTGGGCCCGTTCAGCCTGCAGAAGTGACGAGTGAGGAGGGATCGTCCTGCAGTCTGCAGCTCCCAAGTGGGAGAGTTTGGGGAAGGCAGGGCCAGGCTCTGCTTGGAGGTGCACAGGGAGAGGATGGGAGGTGACAGACACAAGTTGCCACCAGGGAAACTGCAGTTATTTGTTAGGGGAAGAAACTTCAGCATGTGGGTGGTCACAGAAATGGGGCCTGGAGGAGCAGTGGAATCCCCATTGGTGGAGATGTTTGGACATCAGCCTGGCACGGTCCCAAGCAACCAGCTCCATGTTGGCCTTGTTCCAAGTAGCAGCTTTGGTACCAGATGATCTTCAGAGCTCCTTTCCCACCTTAAATTCTGTAACACTCTGCGATAGCAGCCAAGTCTGTCACAATTGTAGTCTAAGTTACTAATGCAGTTTATATCCATACTGCAAAGTACTCTATTTAATGCCGGTAGTGGCATATGCATGCTACAGCACAAGCATCAGGTCAGATTAGTTACCCTTCTTGACATTGCTTTGTGAAACGCTGCAGGTAAACTTTTTAATCATAGAATTATGCTAAATTTCTTTCATAATCTTATTTCTCAGCAGAGCAACTGGCCTGTGCTTAACTCGGTGTATTATCAGTTTGATTTCTAAATGTGGCTGTGTTCTGTGTACACCTTATTTTGTCATCAACATATATATATATACACACACAAATGTTATATGTGTGTTTTTCCTGTAAGTTGCATAAGATATTCATAATTTCTTATTTACTACTGCATTTCTGTTTGCACTACAAAAATCAAAACGTTAAGTAGGTCATTTTGTAAGGTCATTATCTAGTTTGTTTGGCATCTGCTCTGAATTTCATCTTGTTGGCAGTAGAGGAACTGAGTGGATACTGGAGTCATTCAGTCTAATTCCTTTTCTGCTGGCAAAAATTGTAGGAGTGTCCTGTGCTCCTTAACTTAATTTACAAAGTTCTCCTTTTTTGTTCTCATGGTCTTTTTGATAGTAAGTTTCCAAAATTACATTGCAAAATTACAAGATCCTAGTCTACAGCACTCCTAGGGGAAAAAAGAAACACAAACTCCTTTTTAAAGGAAATAATTACTTTTTATTTTCTTAGGGATGTATTGCCTGAATTTAAATTGTTGTAATAAGTATTTTCCATTAGTTTGATAGATTAAATTAGTCCCATACCTTTTAGAGTTCTTGTTGATATTTAAACTGATGGTTCATCAATAATTACACAAATTCATAAATAAATGTAGTATTGATAGCATTAGCTTTGTTTTTAAATGGATACCAGGTCTAGCAAGATGTCTGGTTTGAAGGAAAACATCTGGATTGGATGTTTGTGGGAAGTTCTGATGGCTTCTATTTTGAAGGAAGAAAATGGACAAACTGAAAACCTATTACAATCCAAATTGTTCTTCATATTTAGAAAGCGAATCTGAGGATAGTTCAGATGATGAACCTTTAATTAAAAAACTGAAGAAACCACCCACAGATGAAGAACTGAAGGAAACTGTCAAGAATTTGTTGGCCAATGCAAACTTGGAGGAGGTTACAATGAAACAGATCTGTAAGGAGGTAAGTAAATACAATTTTGCAGTCTTCATAGGTAGTGGATTTTTGTGAACTGACTTTTATCATCCTTTTATCATTTCAGAAATGGAGGCTTGTACTCTGCGCTGTTGTTCAGAAACTAGATAGTTTTGCATTGGTTTATTTACTTGTTAATAGCTGTAACAATGAGAGTTTTAATCTTCAGATATGCAACACTGATATCAGCATTAAAAGGGAAATACTAAAATTAGCTACCTGGGAAGTGACAGTATTACCTCCAAACCAAGTGCCTTGTGTGACAGAGAAAATATCTGACATGTTTAGACAGTGCAGCAGGTTTGCTGCTGTCCATAGGGGACAGCTGTGTCCTGTGCTCTGTTCATTTCTGCTGCTCACTTTGCACAGTCATTCTTCATATGTTCTCCTTATAAGTACATTCAGCTGTCACCTATCAGCATCTATCAGGATAGTTCTCAGCTGAGTTAGTGAGTGGAATCAATACAGCAAGAAATCAATTGCCAGAACAGGTGGGAACTATATGCCCAGAAAAGGGAAAGGTGGGGGAAAAGTGACTAAAAACACAAATATAGTTACCTTGATATTTTCTGGTTAACTCATGTGTTTGGTTTTCCTGGTAATTTCAAGAAGTTGTCTTGAGAGAACCAAACCAGAACTTATGAGAAAACTCTATGTAACTTGTTTTCATATTTATAGTCATTCTTGAAGCCTGAAATTTTGGTATGCTGAAATAAAATAGTCTGAATTGGTTGTCAGTGTTGGCATCTGTTTTTTGTTTGTTTGGTCCTCTCCCACACTGTTAACCAAAGAGTAGTTGTACAATAGCACTAATATATTGACTCTTCTGTTAGTCTTTTGAAAGGATCACAGTTTTACTTATTATCAAATACCATGGCTTATTTATTTTACATTAATTGTTTAGCTTCCTACACTAATGCAGGGCTATCTGACTACTTAAGAGAGCATTTAAAACAAAAATTGGAGAATTCTTACTTGTGTGACCTGGCAAGCTAGGCATTTCACTTTGTTGATGTGAAAAATTATAGTACTAGTTTAGTCAGTGACCAAACATAAGAGTATCTGCATTTAAATATTTATGTGGTCCAAATAAGGACAGGAAAATAAGCTTGTGTTTTTCTCTATTAGCAGAGGGCATTATAGCAGTTGTAGTACTAGAAGTACCAACATCAGTTTTTGCCCTAATTTCATTTAAGCTTCCTCTATTCATACAATCCATTGAATGAAAGTAATTTGAGGCTTGTTTTGTGTTTTTGTTTTGTTTTTACTTTTTTTAGGTGTATGAAAAATATCCTAGTTACGATTTATCTGACAGAAAAGACTTCATCAAAAAAACAGTCAAAGAGGTAAAGACCTGATAATTTAGAAAATATTCTGGGTTGGGGTGGGGTTTTTTTTCCTTCAGCCTGGTATGGCATCTTCTTACACAGTTTGAATAGCTTCTTGTATAATACTGGAAATTTAGTGCTCACCTAAACCCTAAACCTTGGATGTTTCATTAGGGTTTTTTTCCCTTGTGTTTCCCTTTTCCCTTGTGTTTCCCTCTTTAAAAAAATAATTGCTTCAGATTCTTTTCTTAGCATGCCACTACTACTCTCATGTATTTGTTTGGTAAGCGTAACTTGAATTAACATTATCATAGTTTTTAATGATTTGTACTCTGAAAGCTATGAATTTGCTTTAAATTACAACCTCGGCTGCAAGATGTAATCTTATTCAGGCACTGGCCACATACATCTGTAGACAATAGCACATGAGGTTGTACAAGCTCTGCAGACTTGTCAGCTAAGGCAAAAGGGAATAAAGACAGATAGCTTTTCTTTATGTGCTCCTGGTAGTACAGTTATGATATGATGATCTTGCCTTTGAGTTTGTTGTGCTGAAGATCAGCTCTTATCTACTGTACTTATGACAGAGGGTTTATTGTCCAATCTGAGCTTTCTAATTTGTTAAAAAAAATCAGGTTTCATTACTTTTGCTTGCCCTAAAAATAAAAATGGAACTGTAGAAGTGAGGTTCACTTAGTGGAGTTAATAAAGTAACTTCATTTTCATGTAGCTTCACTTAGAGATGTTGATACATGGCTATGTAGAATTGCTATGTCTTGTGCATACCTGTGTCACTATCAGCAAAGGCATAAGAGAGCAATTTGTCTGCTCTAGGGATGTTTTTGGGTTTTTTTCAAAAGCAAAAGGAGAGTGTATTTTCATGATAATTTGATACAGAAGGAGAGGTTATATGTGATTGGATTGAGAAAAAGGAGAAAACTAATACATTTCTCTTTTCAGTTGATTTCATGACCTGATTTGACTGTGGGAAATGAAGATTCCTGGGCTTATGTTTCCATGGATTTGAAGATCTGATAGGCACCAGCAAAAGGAATGTTGTCTTACCCTTGTGGTATTTAGTCAGAGCTAATTCTGCTGATCTAATATTGAGTGTTAATGTAAATTGCTTTGTGTGGTTTTTTGTTTTGTTTTTTTAAACAGAACTGCATTTGATTCAATTTTTAGTTGAACATACATAAGTTTCATGCATGGCAGTAAATGTTCCCTTTTTTATAGTTTTGTACATTTTGAATTGCATTGTGTAACTAGATTCATTAAAGCCATCGTAGCTTTTTAGCGTGGATTACCTGCCTACAGGAGATTTTAAAATTGACTAAGATGAAAGCTGCTTATCTACACATATACATGCAGAGACTGGAATATTGCAGTATTGGTTACAAAGATATTTTGAAGACATTAATTCTGACAATAGGAAGAGTTAGTCACGTATTAATCTCTTCTATATTCTGATTAATTCTACCGATACAGAACTACTCTGAATCTAGATCAGTCTTGCATGTGTAGGCACTGAAAGAACTATCACAGCATGGTAACTAATTGGCATATAGGTGTTATTTTTGTACTTTTAAAAGGCTTTTTGTTGTGTATATAAAGTTATTTCAAATTTCTTTTGTGCAAATCAGTTTTTTAATCTTGGTATCTTTGAATTTATGACATGAAATGTCAGTGTGAGGCAGTGACGCAGTGATAACAAGTGGTGTGCAGAAGTTTCATGAAAATGAGCTTAGGTTTCATTTAATTTAAACCTGTAGTTTAACTTTATACAGAGACCACAGACATTGAAACAATGTCTTGGATGTAGTAAATAAAATCCCTCCAAAGGCAATAGGAAAATTTCTAAAGTTCACTTTGCAAAATATCTTTTATGTTGGTGTCTTGACCTGATGGCCTAGCATCTCAGAAGTGGCTATCCAAGAGCTGGAGGCTTGATAGCTTTGGAAATCCACAGGGCTTCCAAATTGGGCAGCACTGATGTGAACATATGTTTAACCTCTCTTCTGTGTGGGAACGCTTTTCTGAACCTGAGCTTCATTGCCCCAGTATGGACAATGGTACTTGTAAGCCTGCAGTCTTGAACTTTGGCTGGCAGCTTTTAGGATCAAAGCAAACTCTTTGCATAAATTTTTTGTTTAGGTTTACTCTTCTGCATACACCTTGTTTCTAACATGGGAAGTCCTACACTTAAAATCATAAAACTAAGAGCTGCCGAAGTGTGGGCTGCCATTCACACCATGAGCACAGAATCCCTCTGACTAGTATTGCTGGAAAGACAAAGTGTATTTTTTTGAATTTTATTATTGTACAGATGAGAAGTAAGGGTTCATAAATTATCTAAATTCCAAAAATGTTCAGCCAGTCAGACTGTTGATCTTACACACTCTTTTGAATTTCTTTGCGTGTAACCATTTATAAAAAGGCTGAATGTAATGGGGATTTTTTGTATTCAATAAATGTCTTTCACAAAAATGTAAATCAGTTTTAATCTAACATTTGCTTACATGTATAGTAAAAACAAAGCCTATACAGGAACAAGGTTGTTTGTCTTTATCTCATCTGCTAGAAACTATTGGCTTTTCTTCTTTAGAAGACACTATAGCTGAAATGTGTGTCCTTGCACTGGGATTTTATGTCTTCTGTGAGGTTAATTTGTGCTTTGTTTTGTTTTTTTGTGGGTTTTTGTCTCTGAACTGTCTTAGTAGAAAGAACACTTCTTAATTTGCAATTAAAAATGTCAAAAATTTCCAAGTCAGTCTTAAGAGCAGAAAGTTACTTGTATTTAGTTTTGATGTTTTACAAATACTTGAATGATCTTTTGATTTTTATGTAAATGTACTAGCCAGTTTTAATGATATGGATCAGGAAGTGTTTTTAAGATTCACAACTCCAAAGTATAAACATTTTTAAAATAGTTTGAAGTCTAGTGAAAACTTAGAAAAGGATAGCATACTTCTATTTATTGTATAAATGCATTACTTGCCACTTTGGAATTGCACTGATGGAATGGAAATGAACTTGACATCCTTCAAATGCTTTGTTTAAATCTCTTAACAAGTCGGTGTTAGGCCTCAATGGAGAAGAAATGCCTGTTTCCTATCAAATCCAAACCAGTCTGGCTGCAGCTGATACAAGATTCCAGTTCTTTCTGCAACTGGGAGAAAGGCTGCAAGACAGTACAAAAAGGTAAATAAATGTCCTGCTTATCCTGATGCTGATGGTTTAGAAGCACATCTGATCAAGGATCTAAATCCTGTTCACAGAGTCTCGTAAAAATAGAAATGGGTTCACTGGATAAAAGGTAACTGAATAAATTGTTCAGGTGTGTACCTTCCAGATGCTTAAGGTAATGCCCTGACCATTATATTCTAGAGAAAAAATAGTCCTAAGATCTTGATTTGATTGCTTCCAGCATAATTCCTACAATCCGATGTATCAGTTCTTCTTTAGTTAAAGTATTTTAATATATCTTCTTTAGTTCAGTATTTTGGTTGGTGACTTGCAAAACCACAAGTTAATCTGAATGATTTCCATGTATAAACAGCTGTTCTTATGAGCACTTGTGGCAACAGTATATGGGCCTTGCAGGAGAAGGAAGATGGAAAGGGCCAAGTGGGGAGGAGATCAGCAATTTGGAGTGAAAAGAGGTTACATGCATTTAGAGTTATGTGGTAACCCATGGCATAGTGGTCAGGCATGTCTAACCAAGATGAAATTACAAAGACAGCTGTAAATTCCATCCCACTTTCTTTCCAGAAGCTCTAAACTAACAGCCTTCTTGGACCTGACCAGGTGGTTTATAGGGTCTGTTGTCTTTCTGTGTTACCCTGTTAAAAGCACATGACAAAGCAAGATCTAAGAATTGTCTGAGTTTGTATTAGCCATTGCTAAGCTGTACTTGAAAATAACCCTTTTGGAGGCCCATACTTAATCTGGACAAATAAAGCCCCTGGATGTCAGCATAGTGAGTCTAGTAAAGTTTATTATTAATTCTTCTGTTTCAGAGAGAGGGTGGCTCATGACCACTTGGGCAGTTCTAATCTTCCTTGTTACCAAATCAGAAAGCTGAGTATAATACAGTAGCTTCAACTGGACTAGTTGAAAATACTCCTGAAATTACTTCTGATGGTTGTTATTGAGGGAGAAGAGTGGAAAAATCTGTAAGATACCAGAACACTGAAAATTTGCAGTAAGAAATTTAGTAAAATCAATATTTCAGTTGCTGAGAAAAGAAACACCTTGAATGCCGACAAGTGTCTTGTTTTCCTTCTGCAAAGAAATGTTTCTCCTGCCTTTGAATTCAGAAGTATTTATTAAAGCAAGATGCTGGAAAGTACAGGTCTAAACATTTATTCTTGACATGCAAGAAGAAAAGGGCTGACAGGAATCTCATACAGGTTAACAAAAGCAGAAGCAGCATCCTGCTTTTGGAACAGAGTATCTCCACTGAACAGTGAGGTTGGGAACAGCAGTGTCTTGCAAAGCACCTTTGCCCAAAAGGGCCTGGGCAGGGCCAGATGGTTCTTTGCAGACAGCTCATGGAGGGCCATTCAGCAATGGCCGCTCCTGATAAGGAACACTGACAGCACTCGAGGCTCTTGCAGCAAGTGTGGGGCCAGGGAAGTGACTGGCACCCCTGTTCAGCACTTGTGAGCTGGCCTCGGCAGCAGTGTCCAGCTGTGGGCTCCCTAGGGCAGGCATGGACATCATGGAGTGAGTCCAGTGCAGGGGCACCAAGATGGTGAGGGGGCTGGAGCTCAGGCTGCAGGAGGGAAGGCAGAGAGAGCTGGGCCCGTTCAGCCTGCAGAAGTGACGAGTGAGGAGGGATCGTCCTGCAGTCTGCAGCTCCCAAGTGGGAGAGTTTGGGGAAGGCAGGGCCAGGCTCTGCTTGGAGGTGCACAGGGAGAGGATGGGAGGTGACAGACACAAGTTGCCACCAGGGAAACTGCAGTTATTTGTTAGGGGAAGAAACTTCAGCATGTGGGTGGTCACAGAAATGGGGCCTGGAGGAGCAGTGGAATCCCCATTGGTGGAGATGTTTGGACATCAGCCTGGCACGGTCCCAAGCAACCAGCTCCATGTTGGCCTTGTTCCAAGTAGCAGCTTTGGTACCAGATGATCTTCAGAGTTTCTGGGTGTAAGAGGATGGCAGTATGATGTAACTTGTCCTGCTTTTTCACCTAATCTCATTCACTGGACTGCACTATTTCACTTATTTCTGATCTAGTGTTAGACAACTGGGCCAAAAGGATTGGATACTGTCCAACAACAAAAAGTTGGATACTGTCTTGGTTTTTTGAAGGATTGATTTTTATGGGGAATATGATGAAATCTGCTGATTTGTACGTTATGCTAAAAAGGATTTAATTTCTATTTTCAAGCTTGTTTTTCTTAGAATGAAGCTGTCATTTTTCAGAAGAAGTATCAGGTGTAATAAGTTGACATTTGGGGAATAAAACACATCTTCAGGATACAAACTTTGGACTGCTCACCACGTATGACAGGGTTCAGGGAAAGCAGTGAATCTTGCCCCCAGTAATGCTTTCACTGGTTCAGACCTACTTGTAGATGAAATAACTTTCAAAGCAGTATATTTCTCTTAAGGCAGCTGCAGTCAGACTTAGACTAAATGAACACCCAACATCCCTTTCTCAAAGAACAATGTAGGTCTGTGTTACTAGAATTTGTCATAGCTTGTCTTTTAAACATTTTGAGTATGTAGCCAAACTTGCACATGCTTACAGTGATCTGTGCTAGTAGTCTGTGCTTTTCAGGACCATGATCCAACAGTGTTCACAATACACTTACTCCATGAAAAGCTTTAAATGGTTATTTGGTAATACTTGAAAATTATATGCCATTCTTCTCAACCATTGTTACTAGCTTAAATTTCCTCTGGCCTAATGAAAATAATATAACACAAGCTTTTGAGTTGCTTTGTAAAACTTGGAGGCAGAAAAGACTGGCTATGAAAGAACAGCGCAGTTAGGCCTTAGAGGAGGCTGTAAAGCAGCCCTTCTGAGGAATTGTCTAGCTGTAAGAAAATACCAAAATGAAAACTTAATACAAAATATAATAAAAAAGTAGGTTTGGCCACTAGTTAAAAAAAAAAAAACACAACAGGGGCATCCCGTGGATACTTTCCAGTTTTATTCTGCTGCCATAACATAGTCACACAGAAGAACTGAAGTGTAACAGATCATGCTCTGCATTCAAAACTTTTCAATAACATTTAAACAAACCTACTCAAAGAAAATATTCCCTAGTTCTTTATTTGAGGGAATAAATTAAACACAAAATTAAAAACACATACATGCTTGAAATAAGTTTTAACAGAGATATTAAAAAAGTTTTGGGCAACATTAAAGAATGAAATCTCAGATCCAGCCTGATGTTCTTACATATTTCAAATGAACGTAAATTAAAATGGAACATACTTATTTCCTTTACTCCTCAAACTTCAGTGCAGCACAACACAGTTTAAGTGCCCTAGCACCAAAACAATATACAAATAATTTTAGTAATTAGTAGACTAGGCCAATTTATCATTTGTTACCAATTTTTCTAATGCCGTAAGCATGCATTATCTAAAGGCAAATGTGATAGTATTTCTTCATGTCCATCTCTCTTCTCTATAATACAGCATTTATCTAGCTGCAAAGTTTCAGATAAATTAAAAATGCCAACTAAAAATTAACAGAATGACATCAAGCATGTTCATATAAACTTTGGACTGGAGAAATGGATGCTGAGCTAAACTTTCCAGAACATTCCTACCTGAAATGTGACATGTTTTTATCTGTTACTAAGCTGACTGAAGTTTCTAAGCAAGGTTAGCTGAAGCAGCCATTGAATATAAGGTTTTGGGCTTGTAGCAAATAAGCTTTTTCCCCACCACCAGAAGCTCCTCTCCCAATAATTTGTCATACATGATAAAACAGGAAAGAAACTTGGAACTCAAACACACAAAGCTCTCAATCTTTGCTAGTTATGCCATAAGTAGGCCTGTAATATATGAAATTAACAAAGTGCAAATGACTGCCAAAAGCAAAATTTATGTCCTGATATTTTTTTATAATCAGAAGGCTTTGTCTTGCTTCTTACAGCTTCAGATTGCAATTTAATAATTGGAAATACTTTAAGACTGTACATACCAGCATTTATGTAGAGGAAAATCATGAACAGTTACACTCTTCTGATTAGTCCATATAACTCAGCTTTAAGAAGCAGAACAGAATATATATCTGAAAAACATCTAGTTATATAAACATCTTCACCTTGTAAATTAGAGATTAAATAAAGGGTTTTTAACAATATCATACCTACTCTAAAAACAAAATATTACATATTTGAAAAGAAGAATTGCATTTATTCAGTAGGACCCTGGTGGTGTTGAGAGCCAGGTTGGCTAAGGCCTTGAGCAACCTGGTCTAGTGTGAGGTGTCCCTGCCCACAGGCATTGGGACTAGATGATTGTTAAGGTCTATTCCAACCCCTTAACATCTTATGATTTTTCTTAAGGTTGCTTGTTGTTTATTTCCAAGGATGCAGCTTTAAGAAAATAAGCACTGTAAGTCAAAAATGTTTGCTGTCATTCTTAAATGAAGGGATTAATAAAAGAGAAAAGCCTATGCATGAGAATGGGGCAGGATAGAGTAAGTGCTTATGTTCATTTCAGAAATCATGACATCTATACAGCCAAGTTGCAGAGAAGGTGTGGGGAAAGAGATATAACAGTGGATTTTATTTTTTTTTTCATTAATACCAATATAGTAGAACAGTATTACAATAGGTATCCCAGTTACATCTCTCTTAGTTCTGTTGAAAAATATTTTCCTCTCTGTCCCGTGAAAAAGCTACTAGATAGATGTCTTGCCCTTACTGAATTACTCTCTCAAGTTGTTTTTAATAATACTTTCATAATAAAAGAAAAAAAAAATAAACTTCAAGTCAAAGTGCAAGCCACCTTGTTTCAGCCCTTCATAAGAGTGTTAATATTTTTCCTCATTCATCTTCACTTATTTTCTAATATAAAAGTTGAATGAATGATTAGGAACTTACAGTCCTGCACCCCCCACTGTAGTCATATCAGCAGATACTTCCTCTATTCAGCCCAAATGAATCTGGAAGTTTGTTTTCAAAATAATCATAGCAATATGGTGTTTTTAAGCTGTCCTATTTCTACAGAAGCAATGAGCAAATCTAAACTCAGCCTATTATTGTAACAAGAATTTCTCTGAATAAGTAATAGAGATATTTCAAAGTTTTTTAAAGTAATGTAGAAGTAAATTTTTCAAGTTTTGATTAGCTACAATAACCTTTCTATGATTGCACTGTAAACTGTTCCAGCTCTCTTATTTAAAGGAACAAACTTCATATCCCAAAGCCCACTTAGTGGATGCTAAGAATATGAAAAAATATTATAGAAAAGGTTATTGATTTCAAGTGGGAAAAGTGATAGTTGAGTTCCTTCCTACATTAATCCTAGAATTTTTCTAGGCTATTCAGGCTCTTGGAAGCCAGTTTGAACTCCGATGAGCATAATCAACCTGAGAAGCACAGTTAGTGGAAAATTCCCGTATCATTACTAACTGCCAGCATTTTTAATGCCATATGTTAACTTAGTCTTGTTTTAATCTGACCTTCTGAAATGAAGGTTCACAATAGCATGACTTGAGCCATACAGAAGAGAACTCTTGACAAAAGTTCTCTTAGTCAAGCTGTGGCCAGCGATTCCAATGTCACTCCTGCTAGTAAGACCTCAGCTGGAAAAAAGCCCCCAACAGTATATATCATCAGGGGTTAAAAATGGGATGGGGGAGAAAGAGGAAAAGGAAGATGAAGATTTTATCTTCAGGTACCACATACAATTCAAGTACCATGTAGGAAAAAGGCAGCAATAGGAAACTTGAAGATAGTTTTACCCACAGAAATCAATTTAAAAATATATCTATAAACA